GCGTTCCTCTCTGTAGGGGAAGCGAAGGACTTCCGAGACAGCTGGGACAAGAAAAGGAGATTGGATCAAGACGATGGGCACAAAACGGCACATTCAAAGAGGCAGCGATAGATGTGCCGCCGACACCATCTCAAGCGCAGTGTATTTGAGTGCATGTGTTGAGATGGGCAGCCTTTGGGGCGCTCGCTTGCAGTGCTGGTGTGGCGAGGCATTTCCGCAGCTGAGTGGACGTATGCCTTCGGAGGTGTTGCTCTTTTCGTTGCTGTGTAGAGCTACTTGTCTGGATGCGCTCTCCTCGTGGGCAGATCGGAAAAAGATTGGTTGCTGCATTGATATATGTTGACAGCCTGCTGGAAAGCTGCTGGGCCTAGTTTGGCAGGAGAATGCAAGTCGAACTTCCAGGCTGGTGCCGTGTTCATGCCCTACGGGGTGTGAATGCCGCCCGCCTTTAGGGTAGGATCATATGCATTGCAATTGCGGTAACGATAGATTCACCTTGCCAGTGCGAGCTATGACTTGTGATTATTCATATCGTCCAGGCATTGAGAACTAGGTCTGATGCTTTGCCGGCATAGGATGTAGCTCTCACATGCTCTCGCGAGTTGTGCTGGCAGGGTGGCTTGCCGACGCTTCTTGGCAATCGCTTTGCAAAGCGCCGTCGTCTGTGGACTAAGCAACCGCCTTACAAGGCAAGGTAGATCCTGGGGTGCGAAAGAACTCAGAGTATTAATGCTAACGCTGCACACCTTGTCAAGGAGCATGCTTTCAGTCAGATGTGGGGCACTTCACGGCAGTTCTTGTCAGGAAGAAGATGCTGCCTCCACGTCAGAAGAAGACAGGAAGGCAGGTTGCTCGGGTCACGTTTTCTGCCAGCTCCCCTCATTCCACCGATCCGGCCAGGAGGGAGGCAACGCAGCAGGTGGTTCTCCAGCAGCCATGCCGCAGAAGGCACGACTGCAGACTCTGCACAGACAGCCTGCCACGCATGGAGCTGCAGCTGCATGCTGTTCAAAGCTAGCAAATCTCACCCCTTGTTTAGCCCGCTGCGACGATCCAGATTTCGACCATCTGCAGGCAGCTAGAGCAGCTAAAGTTCTCATTCACAAGATGCTCACAGGAAGAAGCTGTGACTGGATCGACGGCATGTCTTGCGTGGTGTTCATGGTTTCGCTGTTTACCGCGGTTCTATGGTTTCTAGGGCCCAGCGCCTGCAAATTGGAACGACCCTTGAGCCAATGTGGCGTGGACACTGTGTAAGTATAAACAAGTTTGAAGCTCAAGTCATAAGCAGAGTATAAAGTATAAAGCTGCAGTCACAAGCTCTGTGTACGGACGCCGAATTCCGGCCAAACGAACGAAGCTGAAACCGCTGGAAAATCAAGAGCATACCGGCTTCAGGATCACGGTCCGCCGACGACAGAATCGGCGCCGGCATCGGCGAAGGCGTGCGAGTGCGGCACAGGGTCGCGCCCGCGCCATCCCCCATGCAAGAAAGATGACAACGTCACGGTGTATCCGGTGATAAGGGTTAGTTTCTTACTCGGCAGGTAGTCGAGCCGCTCCCAGTGGAGACCCCGGAGCCGGCGTCGCACAGAGAGGCACAATGAAATCCGCTTGCTCCATCGCCTTGTGGCTTTTTTGCCCTTCGCTTTTTGTCGGCGCTTTCTGATCCTTTCTGGTTTTCATGTCTTGAGGGCACGGGTGAAGACCCACCCTCTCCACTCTCCACCCCGCCCTGGAGCGTCTATGTCTTGGCGCAAGGCTTTTGGTGATGGTGCGCGCACCATGACAACAGCATGAGAAAATGGGTATTACTGTCCACCGCCTCCCCATCCACACCCTGTGTTGATTCATGTAACCCTATGTTGCCCTCAGAACACATGGAAGTGAAGCTGGAAAAGCTTTGTTGCCAGGATCCTTGAATAAGGAATCGTCCCAGCATGTTGGAAGGATTGATGCGACAATTATGCTGATCACCGAGAACTACAGTTGCAAGAGTATGCCAACTACAGTTGCAAGAGTATGCCAACTATCAGAACAGTAGAGATTTAGGGGTTCAGGGTGCTTAAACCCCTAAACCGTAAGCCCTACTGTTTGAGTTCAATGAAAACTCGTAAGATGACATGGGCTGTCGAGCAGGTCAAGGAGGAGCAGGCTCCAAGGGATTCGGGGTTTAGGGTTTAGGGTTTCATTTGGAGTTTGGATTTATGGGTTCAGGGTGTGAATATACACTTCGGCCGTCAGATTCCAAAATTGGAGAATTGGAATTCTACCGCTGCCATTGCGTTATGCTCTCCTTCTGATTCCTCCTCGCTGTCCACACAAACATAATGGTTTGAGTTATCACGCTCGGTATGTCAGCTATGTTCATCCGCTGTTCATTGCTAGTGTACGATTCATTAATTCTTTTGTCTGGCGTTTACGGTTGTTTTCGAGAGACAGTCTTCAAGCGCTGTGACAGCCACATGTTGGCAACGAGATCACTCGCATGAATCCCAACACAGCATCCAATTCAGTCCGAAAGCCATTTCCCTTACAGAATTACTGCTGTATCGATTGCTGTAGTGATGGTTCCTCCCGTTTCAACTTACTACAACAGCTGTTCGTATTGTTGCTTTTTGGTTTGGAGCGCTTGGAATGCATGTACAGGCCCCGAAGAAGCCCAAGCGCGAGCGTGAAGAGAAAGGCACGTGGAAACACACTTGAACCAGCACGTATGCCTTGACGTTTCGACAATCCTTGAAGATGCACGAAGTGAACTTCGGCGAGCGGTCAGGAGATCCAGGAGTCAAAAAAGAGAAGAAGGACGACAACAGTACCGTCAAAGAGGCGAGTCACAGTAGAATCGGATGGGCACGAGCTGTTTATGCCGTGGGTTGTGTTGCACATGTCAGCCAGCAAAGATCCTAGATTCATGCCAGAACTGCGTGCTTTCGGGGAACAAGTGCGCAGTGGACGGACAGGAAGATGTGGAGGATCCTCCTGCAAGGTGCCCAAGATTCCCACATCAGTATGTTTTACTCGAAGGGTCGGTTGGGAAGGAGCCTTGCTTTGCCCGAGGCCTCACGCCGCGCCCCGGAAGCGCGTTGAGCTCAGCGGCCTCAAATCTTGTGAGGATCAGCTAGCGAGTCTAGCGAGGCGTAGATGATCTCCAGGAGGTCTTTTCTTTAGCAATGCCCTCCGCATAGGGGGTGGCCTTAGACGAGCCACAGGCAAACCGCTCCACTAGACGGCATTGTTTGGAAAGTAGATGCGTGGTCTTTGGATGTCCTTTTGACCGGACCGAGCTGAGGTCGGGTAGCTCCTCTTCCGACGTTGAGTCAGAGGTTGGGCAGCTTTTAGGTAGTGCTTGTTCCCCGGAAACGCACGGGAGCCAGGAACTTTTGCATTTGCTTTTCCAGCTAGGCTGGTCCATCCATCCTGAGATCCGCTGGCCCAAGACCAAAAGGCACGGCACAAGCACAAGTTTGATTTGCAGATTCACATCCTTAAGCCTTAATGAAATACAGAAGGTCGCTCTTTCCTTGCATGTCGCCTTGCCTCGGAGGAAGCAGTCGCGGCGTCACCTTCGGCGTTGTGAACCAGGCAGTGAGTAGCACATCTTCGAAATCCGTGCAGCAGAAGTGAACTCCATATCGCCAGCAGCACAGGCTGCAATGTCCGCCAAGTGCATCCCCCAAATCGGTGCGGCAGTTACGGGGTCCTGAGTCCTGTCGCAGGTTGATGTTCTTTCCTACCGCGCCTGCGGCGAGCACCTCTGGTTTCCCAATCCGAAAGAGAACGTTTTGCCGGGTACTTGGCAATTCATATATGTTAGGATGTATAGCGTATTCCTAGCCCACTTTCTGCATGCAACGCGTGGCTCCACAACAGCCGCAGCCTGACATTACTTATCACCGGATAAACTATGATCTGAAACGTGAGTGTTCTGTTCGGTTTGTGCCAGTGAGTTCCCTTGGTGTACTCAGTGCACTCGCCACATGGTGCCCACAGTCACTGACATCCAGGTCTCAATACCATGCTTCACTGATCCTGGCGAGTCTTGATCCAGGTGTGATAGCTGCAAGAGGAGGGTGCCACGGAGGCACTGCATGGAGTATCATTGGGACAGGCTTGGGTAGGCCGGCGAATGCAGCCGTGAATGTGGAAACGTCGAGGAGCGGGCAGCTGAGAGGCGGAAGCTTGTTCATGTGCGACGAGTTCTTTTGCCACGCCCTGAACACTCGTGACTGCTCCTGACGCGAAAGGAACCGTCTGTCGTCTCAGGTCGGGGTTGCTCTGCGAAGTTGACACTCTCCACCTGAGGCCACGGGCAGACATGGGCAGGTTGCACGAAAGGGCAATCAAACTTCGATAACTGAGACCTGTGCCTCTAGCAGTATTTCTGGAGAGCTCGATCGCTGTCTTTGTTGCGGCATTCCGGGCAGCGGCATGTTCAAACGGCTGTGTGTGTGATGGGACAAAGAGTGGAACTCGTGATGATGAGCCTTTTCTGCACTGAAGGCGCCAGAAGCACTGGCCGCAGAAGCACGCACAGGAGATTGCTAGCCAGCCTGCGCATGGTGCCCAGAGTGATTTGCTTCTTCAGCTGGTTTCTCTTCTGGTCGTCGAATCTTCACGATGTGTTGGGTCGGATAGGATCCAACTTTCCAAGGAAGCACGTCGCACCTGCTCTTGAGCTGACCGAAGCCTTGTGTACAGCTGGATCATGCCAGCAGCCGCATGCCGGGGGACGGAGAGAGAGAGCTGGATCATTTGTCTGGACGAGAGAGCGCAAGCAGAACCGACTGCATCTGTCCGGCGTGAATCAAGCGCTCCGACGTGGGATGTGCAATTTGAGATTGTTTCTTATTTGTTGCTGTTCTGTTGGCTCCAGCTGCATCTTTGCAGTGACGAGCCGCACTGACGCAGCAGTAGCAGAATTTTCGTCCAGATATCTACAGCAGCAAGAAACGCAGCAGCGAACTTTGGTGAAAGCTAGCGCAAGACTTCGTGCAGCAATGTCAAAATCTCCCGAGGTGCGACTGCAACGAAACGGTTTCTTCCTGGAAGCTTGATTTCTCGGACTGTTTTCAGGGTGATGCTTGGTTGATAAAGTAGAACCTGCCATTTGTCATGTTGGGGTACACTGGAGTTTCGAAGCATGCGCGCAAGAGATGTGAGGACTTTGGTGACCTCGTCGTGTCTAGTTTGCAACTCAAGCACCGTGTTGAAGGCTAAAGATGCTGGCGTTGCATGGTAATTATGGTATAATATACCCCAAAACCCTATTCTAACTATTAAGGCCCCTACATTAGTCCTGGAGTCGTCAGCCTTTTTCTGTCAAAGGGTTTCATGTATAGACTTCTTTCAGCAATGTGCCGGGAGGCCTTGAGCCCCAAGTTTTCGCAGAGTTGACTTGTCGGTGAGATTGCAGACTGTAGACGATTGCAAGAGGACAAACTATTGTAGTAGCTGCGTATTTTGGGGGCTCTTGTTTTTGGTTGTTGTTGCTTCGCTGTGTGGATGGCTTCCCGACTTTCACTGGCAGATGTGGGGAAAGGACAACAAAGCGGCAAGGTGCCAGAATTGGAAAGCCACAAGACATACCACCACCAACAAATAATGCCAAATCGACTAAAGTTCTAAAGAAAAATACCAGCCTAAGCTTACAAGACTGTGCACGTTAGCATGAAGCCACAGCCACCTATAGACTGTCCTGCTTATACCAAGATGAATGAAGCGTGTGATGCATCAGCACTGGCAAAGTCATAGTGGAACAGCCTTCGAATGGCGTTGGAAAACTTGGCGACGGTATATCCATGATGCATAAGAAGTTCAACGCACCATGCTTACACTTGATCAAGAAACCAGTTGTACCAAGTCCGTAACTTATGAGTTGAATGCGAACAGCGAATCGTACGTGGAAAACTGCTAACCTGGTTGAGGGTGGCGTATGACCAACATACACGTGTGCAGGTTCTCGACAATCCAGGCCCAGAAAACCATAAAAATACACACCAATATCCAAAATCAGACCCCTCCGTGTGACCCTTACAGGGTTTTCTACAACCCAGACCCAGAAAACCATAAAAACTACCAAACAAAAACATAAAACATACCCAAAATAAACCTGGACCCGTTTGGAAAGGTCTGTGAGAGGAGACTGCATGTGAGTGAGGATCCAGTGAGAAATCTGTGGGGTTGCAGGTGATCGGTCAGAGACTTGCTAAACCTTGCTAGTGTTTTTGTCGGACTGGGATGTGAAGAGGCAAGACTGTTGTTGCTAGTCTTGTGCCATCGTATCGAAAGACCACATCTCATAAGGGTGTGGGGGATGACTCCTTGCTCCAAGTACTGCTTGCCTCTCAGGGGGGCCTGCGCTCCTTGAGCGGAACAGAGCTGACCATGCCCTTCAAGGCAAAGGGCGCGGGATGCTTCACGGCAGCGGTTTCGACGATCTTTAACTGTGTCTGTGTGCGCAGATCGAACACATTCCCGACTCTCTCAAGGAGGATCTTCGTTGGAGTATCAAGCCGTTAGGTGCCAAAGGTTAGAGCAGGGAGGGAAAGGCTCTTTGGCATTTCGGGCTCTCGTCCTGGAGTGCCTTCAAAACAGCGTATGCCTTATCCAAATGTCCTTACCAAGTCTGCTGCCGACAAGTCTCGACTGTTGAGGAGCCAAAAAGGCGTGTAAGTCTGTGCTGGCTAATTGCCAAATCTGTCATCGCCCGTGACAGCCACCTGAACCTGTCTTGAATCTGTGTCAGGAGACACAGGAACACCTTTCAAGAAGTATGGAATTCTTCAACAAGGCGCTTTGTTGCTTTGTCACAGCCATAGTCCGTGCCACAGAAGCTTGAAGTCATTTGCGGGGTTTCGGTCTCGGGTGGCAAGACGGATTGGGGCACCGCTGGCGTACACTGTCCTCAGCTTCTGCCTGGGCCAGGTCAACAAAGAGTTCCAGAAGTTGCAGGTGATCCACAGTCGGCAAACACATAGAGATTTAATGGTTTGCAGAGCGTCGACTTGAGGTGGTTTCTGATGCACGTCTTGCATGCTTTTGTTGCGATGATCTCATACTAATTTCAATTGTAGTCGTGGATGGCTGGATGTCCATGTTCATGACACCTCTGTTCTCGTGTCACCGTCAGGAGCAGCTGCAACAAGTCACACAGCAGCGCGATGCGCTTCGCCTGCTACCCAAACGAAACCCTGTGCTGTGCCTTTCTGCTTCAGAGCCTTCTGTTCTTTCCTTTGCTGAGGGCAGCAGAACAACTGTCTCCAGCAGCAGCTCGAGCAGCTCGAGCAGACCCTCGGCTCAGAGAGTCGTCGCAACGCGTCAACCGTCCCACTGCGTCCCGTCCCGCTGCTACTGCTCAGGGCCAGTAGCGAACAGATGGCAGTGAAGCCAGTCGTTCTGAGCCTGGGCCCCGGACCAGCAGCGAACCGCGTGTCAACCGACGAGAAGAGTGTTTCGAGTGAAGAATCCAGTGCGCGATGCGTTGCACAAGCCTTCTTCGAGACGTGAAGGCTTGTGGAGTCGTGTACGGCTCTCTCTCTGTCTCTCTCTGTCTCTGTCTCTCTCTCTCTCTCTCTCTCTCTCTCTCTCCCTCCCTCTCTCTGTAAGTCGGGAGTCGAGAGGAAGACGTCATCGTTTTTCCAGTGTTTTTCCTGAAGGCCTCGTTACTCGAAGGAGCTCTGCAGGGGTATCGTGACAGGGACAACGGAACTTGCTTCGTTCCGTCTCTTGCAGCAGTCCCTCGATCTCCTGAGGCCAGTTTTCACCGCAGGACGAGGTGAATGGAATCGACTTCCACGAGGGTCAGCAGGCTGGCCTGTGACAGGGTAGATGTTCTGGCATGATGGCTTATGTATGAGCGTTTGCAGTCGGAACTCGAGTTCTGCCGGCCATGGCTCGTTGAACCATCGCTCCACAAATTGGTCAGAGGAGGAATACGGTTGACAAGCCGCCTGATGAAAACCGCCAAAGAAGCATAGCATCGAAACAGAACATCCTCAACACAGTTCTGCAGAGAATGCAACATGGGACGCACCGCATCGGCATAGGATTGTGGCGTGCACAGGTCTTTTGTTGAGCAGTTGTCACGTGCACCATTGCAACGTGTCCTTGCAGGGCTTGTGGCTCAAGCCGGAAAGGGCATGATGGCCCCTAGAAGGATATCATATCTTCAAAGATGAATACAACCCCATGTGGTCTTACAATAATAAGAAACGTATCTGAGGAGGTTGAGCCTCTTGCAAAATGAGTGATGTACTTGACATTGTGAATGTCTTCGTGCAGAAAGTGAACAAAGAAACGCGTGCGCCGAACAATCTGGTCAAGTATGATGTGACGGAATGTCGAGATTTGGGCAATGTGATCTGGTACACAGCAACTGTTTCTGTGGCTGGCATGGGAGAGGCCGCCGGAGAACCATCGCGAACCATACCCGAGGCCAGGAAGTCGGCCGCCAAGGCGTTCCTCTCTGTAGGGGAAGCGAAGGGCTTCCGAGACAGCTGGGACAAGAAAAGGAGATTGGATCAAGACGATGGGCACAAAACGGCACATTCAAAGAGGCAGCGATAGATGTGCCGCCAACACCATCTCAAGCGCAGTGTATTTGAGTGCATGTGTTGAGATGGGCAGCCTTTGGGGCGCTCGCTTGCAGTGCTGGTGGGGCGAGGCATTTCCGCAGCTGAGTGGACGTATGCCTTCGGAGGTGTTGCTCTTTTCGTTGCTGTGTAGAGCTATGTCTGGATGCGCTCTCCTCGTGGGCAGATCGGAAAAAGATTGGTTGCTGCATTGATTTATGTTGACGGCCTGCTGGAAAGCTGCTGGGCCTAGTTTGGCAGGAGAATGCAAGTCGAACTTCCAGGCTGGTGCCGTGTTCATGCCCTACGGGGTGTGAATGCCGCCCGCCTTTAGGGTAGGATCATATGCATTGCAATTGCGGTAACGATAGATTCACCTTGCCAGTGCGAGCTATGACTTGTGATTATTCATATCGTCCAGGCATTGAGAACTAGGTCTGATGCTTTGCCGGCATAGGATGTAGCTCTCACATGCTCTCGCGAGTTGTGCTGGCAGGGTGGCTTGCCGACGCTTCTTGGCAATCGCTTTGCAAAGCGCCGTCGTCTGCGGACTAAGCAACCGCCTTACAAGGCAAGGTAGATCCTGGGGTGCGAAAGAACTCAGAGTATTAATGCTAACGCTGCACACCTTGTCAAGGAGCATGCTTTCAGTCAGATGTGGGGCACTTCACGGCAGTTCTTGTCAGGAAGATGCTGCCTCCACGTCAGAAGAAGACAGGAAGGCAGGTTGCTCGGGTCACGTTTTCTGCCAGCTCCCCTCATTCCACCGACCCGGCCAGGAGGGAGGCAACGCAGCAGGTGGTTCTCCAGCAGCCATGCCGCAGAAGGCACGACTGCAGACTCTGCACAGACAGCCTGCCACGCATGGAGCTGCAGCTGCATGCTGTTCAAAGCTAGCAAATCTCACCCCTTGTTTGGCCCGCTGCGACGATCCAGATTTCGACCATCTGCAGGCAGCTAGAGCAGCTAAAGTTCTCATTCACAAGATGCTCACAGGAAGAAGCTGTGACTGGATCGACGGCATGTCTTGCATGGTGTTCATGGTTTCGCTGTTTACCGCGGTTCTATGGTTTCTAGGGCCCAGCGCCTGCAAATTGGAACGACCCTTGAGCCAATGTGGCGTGGACACTGTGTAAGTATAAACAAGTTTGAAGCTCAAGTCAGAAGCAGAGTATAAAGTATAAAGCTGCAGTCACAAGCTCTGTGTACGGACGCCGAATTCCGGCCAAACGAACGAAGCTGAAACCGCTGGAAAATCAAGAGCATACCGGCTTCAGGATCACGGTCCGCCGACGACAGAATCGGCGCCGGCATCGGCGAAGGCGTGCGAGTGCGGCACAGGGTTGCGCCCGCGCCATCCCCCATGCAAGAAAGATGACAACGTCACGGTGTATCCGGTGATAAGGGTTAGTTTCTTACTCGGCAGGTAGTCGAGCCGCTCCCAGTGGAGACCCCGGAGCCGGCGTCGCACAGAGAGGCACAATGAAATCCGCTTGCTCCATCGCCTTGTGGCTTTTTTGCCCTTCGCTTTTTGTCGGCGCTTTCTGATCCTTTCTGGTTTTCATGTCTTGAGGGCACGGGTGAAGACCCACCCTCTCCACTCTCCACCCCGCCCTGGAGCGTCTATGTCTTGGCGCAAGGCTTTTGGTGATGGTGCGCGCACCATGACAACAGCATGAGAAAATGGGTATTACTGTCCACCGCCTCCCCATCCACACCCTGTGTTGATTCATGTAACCCTATGTTGCCCTCAGAACACATGGAAGTGAAGCTGGAAAAGCTTTGTTGCCAGGATCCTTGAATAAGGAATCGTCCCAGCATGTTGGAAGGATTGATGCGACAATTATGCTGATCACCGAGAACTACAGTTGCAAGAGTATGCCAACTACAGTTGCAAGAGTATGCCAACTATCAGAACAGTAGAGATTTAGGGGTTCAGGGTGCTTAAACCCCTAAACCGTAAGCCCTACTGTTTGAGTTCAATGAAAACTCGTAAGATGACATGGGCTGTCGAGCAGGTCAAGGAGGAGCAGGCTCCAAGGGATTCGGGGTTTAGGGTTTAGGGTTTCATTTGGAGTTTGGATTTATGGGTTCAGGGTGTGAATATACACTTCGGCCGTCAGATTCCAAAATTGGAGAATTGGAATTCTACCGCTGCCATTGCGTTATGCTCTCCTTCTGATTCCTCCTCGCTGTCCCCACAAACATAATGGTTTGAGTTATCACGCTCGGTATGTCAGCTATGTTCATCCGCTGTTCATTGCTAGTGTACGATTCATCAATTCTTTTGTCTGGCGTTTACGGTTGTTTTCGAGAGACAGTCTTCAAGCGCTGTGACAGCCACATGTTGGCAACGAGATCTCTCGCATGAATCCCAACACAGCATCCAATTCAGTCCGAAAGCCATTTCCCTTAAAGAATTACTGCTGTATCGATTGCTGTAGTGATTGTTCCTCCCGTTTCAACCTACTACAACAGTTGTTCGTGTTGTTGCTTTTTGGTTTGGAGCGCTTGGAATGCATGTACAGGCCCCGAAGAAGCCCAAGCGCGAGCGTGAAGAGAAAGGCACGTGGAAACACACTTGAACCAGCACGTATGCCTTGACGTTTCGACAATCCTTGAAGATGCACGAAGTGAACTTCGGCGAGTGGTCAGGAGATCCAGGAGTCAAAAAAGAGAAGAAGGACGACAACAGTACCGTCAAAGAGGCGAGTCACAGTAGAATCGGATGGACACGAGCTGTTTATGCCGTGGGTTGTGTTGCACATGTCAGCCAGCGAAGATCCTAGATTCATGCCAGAACTGCAAGCCACACGATTAAAAGAAACTATGGGAAAGCTAAATAGAAGCTAGCCGAGGGTAGTTTCGGTGTTGGATCCACCGGAGTTCAATGGCGCTGAAAAGCAGCCAGACAAACTCCAGGATGGCGCTGAAAAGCAGGCAGAAATATTCCAGGATGGCGTTGACAAAGCAGCCATATCTGAATCTTTCGTTTTTTATGAGTATGGAGAGCCCGGTCCTGGCAAGCCCAAGAATATCAAAAATCAACATCAACATACAGAGACGGAGAATACGGATGGCACCGCGTCACGGTTGGGAAAACACGGTTTGTTTGGGAGGGTTTTGGGCAAGGCCGTGCTGGTTGCTACTGGGTTGCTGGGTCACTCTTGCACAACTCTGTATTTTGGGCTTGTGGCCACCTTTTTGAGATCATTCTGTTTGTAACTTTCGCTATCTTCTTCTTAGCTTTTGTACAGCTTTTGTTTAGCTTTTGTTAGCTTCTTCTTAGCTTTTTGTTTGCATTTTTAGCTTTGTGATAGCTTTTTGTTGGCTTTGCCCGAAGGAAAAGCTTCATTTCCAGCCCGCGCACTCCCGCGTCAGTGGAGCCGATAAAAAGCTAGAAAAAGCGAAAAAAGCCAATGTCTGAGAAGCGGAAAGCTGCAGGAAAGCCACAGGGACAAGCTGGCAGTCGCCCGCGGTTCGAAGTGAAAAGCTGAGCAGGGGGCGCGGCGGGAGGTTGGGTTTGGGTTCGTCGGGCGGGTCTGGAATCCCTGGGCGCCGGGGCGGATGAAAGAGCGGGAAAGGGTGGGGAAGCGAGAGGGGGGAGGGAGAGAGAGCGAGAGAGAGGGAGAGAGAGAGAGAGCATGTTTCCGAGAGGTTTTCGGGCGGCTTTTGCGCAGCTTTTATCTAGCTGATCTAAGCTCTCGTCTCGATCCTCCTCTAGCCTTGCTGCAGCTTTTCGGTAGCTTTGTCGTGGCTTTGGACAGCCTCCCTGTAGCTTTGTCTGTAGCTTTCTTCGGCTTGTCTGTAGCTTCTCTGTAGCTATTCGGTAGCTTATACCAAGGGTTCCAGGCATGCCCAGGCACATGGCCGTCCTAAGCTTGGATGGCTTGCCGAGTCTTGTCGGAGGAAACTCTCAGCAAAGCCAGGTCAAAGCTACATGCAGAGCTGAAATCTAGCTGCCAGCTGTTTTGATCTGTGAGTTGCGAGAAGTGTTTGCAAACCGAACGAAGGCCTCACGCAAAGTCTGGAATGAAGCCCTCACACTCAGCGCCTGCCCTTTGCCTCTGCCAGGACCGAGGCGGCGGAGAGTGCTGTCGATGCTGCCAGAGACTTCTTGGCCGTTGCGAAGGAGCAGGCGACGCCGCGACGCCAGAGATCAAAGCTAGGGAGGACTTCGCCCTTAATTAAGTGCTCTGAGTCTTAACTGTCGTGTGGTCTTGCAGAACCGGGCTCAGCCAATTAATTGTTGACGCAAAGAGCTTGAGAGCGGCTGCCTGGGAAAGGCAGTCACCCATTCATCAATTTGGCAGCTGGGTTTGGAGGGTTGGAGGTGCGCCCATGCGGGGGACTCCTCTGTTCAAAGGCCCTCCCTGAGTTCTGATGAATTTGCATCCCGGCTCATGGCAGGGAAGAGATAATCCATCGCAGACAAGAGATGGTCTGTCCTCGTTTTCAGAATGGCCGCTTTCTGCCTGCAGGCCTTGGCGTTGGGTGTTGACCGCAACTTCGAGACCCAGGCACCGACCTGGCTCTGAATACAGCTGTACCTTTGCTAACTGAGTCAGCACTCCCTGTTTATTCTTAGTTGCATGGTGTCCTGCCGACCACGACATCTCTCAAAGCACAGCCAAGGCTGCCGCAAAGCAACCAGAGATGAACATCAAACAAAACTGCTGTTGTGGAATGTTGAGGCAAGGAGGGCGTTGTAGGCAGGAATGATTCTCTCCGGGCATCGCCGACGGTCTTTTGAACCCAAACTCTTAGCAACTCCGAACTGAATTGTACAGGCCAAGCAGATGGCTGCTGTGGAGGCCAGCTTTGCCACGAAGACTTCGCCGAGTCAACCTGAGCCTTCGAATCCTTCAGTTGGGACATGCTTCGGCTTTGCGAATCCACATCGATTTCAAGAGCTTGTTCCAAAGTGTCGTTCACTTGGGCTTTCTTCGAGAGGCATTATAGCTACCGTAGTTTGAGCCAGCCATCCTGATGTCGCAAGGCCCCCAGCCGGAAAACTGTTACTGACCCCTTGCAACACGTGGTGGGAAATAAGTTCCCGAACAGGCCGGGAATCTGCAGATGAAGGTTACGGCGCTGGAGAATCGTGTCACCACGGCAGCGCACGTGTCCAAGGCGAGTGTGCGTTTGCTTGTGCATGTTGTGTATAAGGCTGTTTGTATACCTTTGAGTTCTGTCGGAGCGACTTCATTCTGCGTGTTCACGACACGGCTTCCATAGGAATCCTACGGTGTTGGGCCGCTCGACTCTGAGAGAGTGATGCCCTGAGCTTTTCTGTGCTCCAGGAGCGGAAAGCGGCTCTCCTCAGGGAGGCGCCAGAAGAGAGCGGTTTGAGCTGTTTGGGAGGTTTGAAAAGGCGGCATCCACTACGTACAGCGCAGGACTTTTTGAACACGAGGCTCTACACAGTGCCTCAAAAGTCTGTACACATTCCGCTGCAGCATCAATCGAAACCCTCCAAGCCCGGGACAGGCAGCGACGATGTGAACGTCATGGTCCAGGCGAAACAAGCTTCCATGTGAGATTGTGAGAGATTCGTACCTGCCCCGTGAAAGATGACGAGACATGAAAGGAGCGGAAGCAGGATGAGATTGGTGATGCGGTGAGTGGACATGACCCCGAGCCAGCCAGACGCAACACGCTGTTGTAGACCGCAGGGAGCTAGTCAAGGAGCCTGCAGCCGGCGCTTGCATCGCCTGCAAGATAACAGTTGTATTTGGCCCAGAATTTGCTCTTTTGGGTGTTTGCAAGATTGGCAGTTTGTATTTGCACAAGGAAAGGCGCCTCAGGAATTTCATGGCTCCACAGGAATCTTTCCGGGGAGCACGCGACAGAAGGTCGCAGCACTTTCTAGGCGACGCAGATTTAATGTCTTCCCAGGCGACATAGCAGTGCCCTGCTCGCAATCTTGACTATTTTCCATGCCTGTCAACCATGTCTTGGTAGAGTTGTTCTGCTTCAGGTAGGAGGCCCATTAATTGTAGTCCTTATAAGAACTCGCTCTCTGACTGAGGACCTAAAGGAGTTCAAGGTCTTAAAGTGCGCATCAGCATCTGTACTGTATGCCTCGTGCACAACCAACTTTGTTCATCTTGCTGCAGTTTCGGCTTTGGTCCTTGCGGCCGAAGCTAGCGTGACTGAAGCAAAGTGACGGATGTGAGGTGTTGGACTGACTGCTCGTGTGAGGTGTGTGGTCGAGGGCGAGCCCTGCGGAATCCAGGCTAGGGACCAGGCTGTACTCTAGTTGGGTTTTCTGCGCTGCTGGACGATAGGGGGTTGCTTCTATTGCAGCTTCGAACATGTGCGAGTCTTCGTTGCTATCCGTGTGTCGCATTTCCTTGCAGCGTTTCTGCCTTAAACTGCAAAGCGCAGGATGCCGATGGCTAGAGCTTTAACTCGTCCATTGCAATTT